TTATCTGTAGATTATTGTGATTGGTTCCCTTTTTCTCCCTCACCTTCCCCTTACCTCCCTGGCATCGCTACTCTTATTGTTGGTCCTGAGGGGTTATCTGTCCTGGTTTCCAGCACTGATCTGTACCAGTGTACATACTCCTGTCTAGCTGATTTGTAAGGTAGAATTGGGATCATAAAGAGAGGGGGGAAGCACTAAAGAACTAGAGGAAGTTGAAGCAGAAAAAAAAAAAAAAAGAACTAGAGGAAGGTTGTATGTTTCATCAGTGCTATACTGCACCCTGACTGGCTCATCTCCTCCCCACAACCCTTCTGTAAGGGGATGTCCAGTTACCTACAGATGGGCTTTGGGTCTCCACTCCACACTCCGTCTTATTCACAGTGATGTGATTTTTTGTTCTTTGATGCCTGCTACCTGATCCTATTGCTACCTAATGATCACACAGGCTGGAGGCAGGCTTTTTAACAATTTGTGACATGCAGATGACACACCTTGCTTGCTGAAAGTGAGGAGGACTTGAAGCACTTGCTGATGAAGATCAAGGGTTGTAGTCTTCAGTATGGATTAGGATTCAGTGTAAGGAAGACCAGAATCCTCACAACTGGACCAATAGGTCACATCATGATAAATGGAGAAAAGGATGAAGTTGTGAAGAATTTTGTCTTGCTTGGATCCACAATCCATGCTCATGGAAGCGGTAATCAAGAGATCAAAAGATGGATTGCATTAGGTAAATCTGCTGCACAAGGCTTCTTTAGAGTATTGAAGAGCAAGGATGTTACTTTGAGGACTCAGGTGTCCACCTGACCCAAGCCATGGTAGTCTTTATTGCATCCTATGTATGTGAAAGTTGGATATTGAATAAGGAAGACTGAAGAAGTATAATGCTCTTACAAACTAGTAGTAGGGAGGGTTCAGATTCCACCCCCACCCCCCCTTTGTTCTAGCAGCAGGTGAGAGAAAATACACTTACTTTCTCACTGAGGCTAATGATGTTTTCAAAGAAGACAGAAGAAACAGTGCCAAATATACAAACAGTAGGAATCAGGTTCCTCTTAGATGAAAGCTAGGGCTTCCCAGAGTAAGACTTTGGGGAAATTTCTAGGTTCCAGACCCAG